ACTAAGTACGCATTTCATTTACTGTGCACACATTAGTGTGCACGATTATTACAGTTAAGATAAAAATTCTTAATTTTTGGTACATACTCTTGGTTAAGCGCATTATGTATATAATTAAAAAATAATAATAATAATTAAGTTAAATTTCCTAAAATTGTCAAATTTTCCTTATTTTTATAAAACAAAAATTTTTAAATCCGGCTTATATGGCTTTTGTTAGATACACATTAAATAAACAGCAGAAAAATAGCCAAAATATGTTAAAATTTTGCATCTCGTATTTTCCTGCCACTGTTTTTCAAAATTGTCACTATTAGTGCACTTAAAAATCTAACAAATTTGAAATAACCCTTACGGCGTGAGGTCGGTGAGGTGTGAAATGACTTAATTTTTACTCAAAATAAATTCTAATTAACGTAATAAAAACACAAAATGTCCCGATTAAACCACACAACCACATCGGTGTACGCAATATATTAGCAAAATAATGAAATTAACCCAGGCCAATTAATTAAATTTCAAAGCATAAATTTGTTAATGGGGAGGGCATAGCAAACAGCACTCGTGGTACACGAAGCAAAATTTAAATTTTGATACGTAAATAAATACATTTACAAACGCTCTTACATATATGTATAAGTATACATACCGACACAAATGCCGCAAGGATACAACACCATACACCTGTTCCTTGGTGATGATATGATCAATTAAGAGGCGGCCATATTTCTCGAAAAACAGCTCACGGCGGGCACTGTAGATAATTGGCTAAATTAAGAGGAAGAAGAAGAATTTGATGAATTTTGAGGAAAAAACAAAACAAGTGGTTGTAATTGTAAGATACATATGTACATATATGTACTATATTTATGTAGAAAGATGAAAAATGATATATGTAGCAAAAATATGCATACATATTGGAGATGAAAAAAAAATTAATAGAAGATGTGAGTAAGTAATGAAATTTTAGCAAGCAATTTTGTGTTTTTCATAAAGAATAAAATTGCAACGCAAATAAGGTGTAAAATTTTGCAGTACACTGACAATTTTACTTGGTCTAGTTTTGGGGAAGCGATAAACCTATTTGGCTTTCAAGTGCCGCATGCGAGAATGTAACACTTTGGCACAAATTAAGTTACGCTGCAGCGCTCGCTCTGAAACGATTCGCTGTTATGTGCAAGAATTCACAGAAATGTCAGCGGCTGCACTAAGGTTGAAAGGCGAATAGCTAAGGTACTTTAATAAAATCACGCATAAGCAATTGAAAGCACTCCATCCGAAGCTATTATTTTAGAAACTATGTAGTATGTAGACTGAGTCTAATGTTGAGAGCGACAGCGCTATAGAATTTCATTTATTCGTAAATCTATGAATATTCATACATACATACATATTTAGTAGGTGTACTTCAGGCGAATGCGCCATCCAGCTGTGGCGCCAGTAACCACAACTTACAATTTAACTATCGCCATCAACAACAATCGTCCGTTGCCGCAAACCCTGCAGTGAAAAGCCAAACCAGTTAGAAAAAATACAAGCTCGTTAACTAGTATGTGTACGGTGACCATCCGTCCTTTATTTTAACCCCGTGCCCTATATGATTTTTTTCAAAACGCCTTTTGTTCTTTATTTTTTAATCTGTCCTTCAAACCAGCTCTGAATTTTTCAGAGGTAAATTTTAAAACACAGAATGTGAAAAATAAATGCAATGAAAACCTTCGCCAGTTTGTTTCGCACCCCAATTAAGGGATTTTGTTTAATCGGTAGTCTTTGTACAATCTAAAAAGCACAGAGAAAGTTGTGCCCAGGATCGTGTTGCACGTTGAGTTTCCAGTTCCACTGAAAGAGAACAATAAGCCCCCGTTACACAGTGGTTCAAAACTGGCATTTAGTGCTAATTCACTGGAGGCTTCATTTTTCACTTAATTTGATTAATTTTTATTTTTCTTTTATTAAAGCTTACAATATTTGCAAGAGACCAGTTGAGCCTGATTTGTGAATTTTTATTTGATTACACTAAATTTTTTGGTACAAAATGCAGAAAAAGTAGCAATTTTGAAGAAAATATATTCTCCTGTTCCAGTTAATAAATTTTACATAACAAAAACTAGTTGAAAATAATTGTATGGTTCGCTCAAAACGAAAAAACAACACAAAAGAAAATTTTGAAATGTTTTAAAAAAATTTTTACCAAAATAACTTTTTTTGTTTTTAGTAAAAATTGGTTGAAAAATTAAGGCTCCGGTGAATTATGAACAATAAATTCTAATTTTGAACCAGTGTGCGGGCTATGTCGTGCAGTATGAATTATGGTAAATGCATTATGGTAGCAAAGGATGGCGAAGTCCTTGAAAAGGATTTGGCTTAATTTTTCGCAACAGCAGGGGAACTTGTACAATTAAATAATATAATTAACCGGAAAATATTTGATTTAAATTACGATACGGGTAAGGTACTTTTATCATACAAGTTGTATGTACGTATTCCCAAATCATTTTGAAAAAAGTGTCCTTTATTTTACGTTGGTTAATATGGTCACCGTAAGTATGTGCCTACCAGTCCCACCATTTCGAAAAACTTAACTAAGCGTTTAGCGACATCTGCCTTTGAATGGCCAAAGCCAAAAATAAAATGCAATTAATTGCTTTTCTTACAAATGTCGGCGGGGGCGTCATGTTCTGCGGTCGCAGGATAGAAGCCGCTTCGAGGTGGTCAAAATTTTTTAAGTTAAATCAATGTAGGTAAAAATAATTATTTCAATTTAAATATAAATATCAAAAATTTTTTATTTTTATTGAGCTTTGTACCACGATTGTTTATTAGGAAAAATTGAAAATGCAAACAAAGTTTAAGCGGTAGAAGTTATAGCACTATTTCGGAGACCACCACATCTACTCATCAGACTTCTTTTTTCTAGACTTCAGCAGGGATCGAACCTGCGAATTCGATGTTCAAAGTCAGAAGCGTTAACCACTGAGCTATGTACATCCCGTAAACTCTTGTTGCTAATTCATTCCCAACATTGACAAATACATAAATATCAAAATTTTAGAATGTAATTGCATTGCAGAAAAAAATGAATTTAAAAAAAAAAATATTATTTTTTTCAATTAAATTTAAAAACTACAATAACTAAATAAAAAAAAATTAACTTCAGAAAAAGACAAATTAACAAAAAAAATCAAAAAATTGTCACTGCGACAGTAGTTGAACCTGGGACCACGCAAGTGCTTTGCGCTGTCAGCCATGCGACTGTTAGAGCGCCGAGAGCAAAAAAACATTGAAAAATGATAGAACGTGAACTAGTTGAGCTGAAACGCAAACTGGTAACTCCACCACTAGTTGCTTTTTCTTTGCAGGTAATAGCAGCAGCGACATGTTTTCGACTTTCCAACGAGTATTTCGATGTAAAGAAGGATGGCGGGCGGTATGTGCGGTTATACGCTGAATGGCATGCATATCTCTGCATATTTCTACGTACACTAGGCATACAGCTTTAAAAAAGTTTTTTCTTTTTTTTTTTTTGCAAAACTATGTTTTTATACAACTACATATCGAGGGCTTATATTCAATATCCCCTAGTTGCAATTTTCACAAAAACCACTTTGTGATGTTAGTGATGTTGTGAAACGAAGTTCGCCGGGTCCGCTACTATTTTATAAACGAATAAAAATTTAAAAAGGGAAATTTCAAATCAAAAAAATAAAAAGTACTACAACTTCTTTCTAGGTAAATTTGTTTGTTGCTGTTTGCGCTCCTGAGCTAGGCGAAAGTACCTAAAACTGATTTTCAATGTATTATATGAAAAAAGATATAACATGCAAATAGATTTGGAAAATTAGGAACTTTTTTAAAAAGACCAAATAACTTGAAAAAAATCAAATCAACTGCTCTACTGCTATTACGTGTTCAATACGCCTATGCTATAACCTTACAATAACAATAACAACAAAGAAAAACCCCAGTGAAAATGAAAACATATTTGCCAATTACAAATATCGGTTCTGAGTTTATTTGCAGCCTTCATAATAGTTTAAAGCACCTAAGCCAAGAAAAGTGATTCGCAAGGTGGTCCGGGTAGACCCTCAGGGATCCACGGGAGGCTCGACAGGGGTAACGTTGGCGTGAAAAAAATATGGGTGTCCACGAGTTGTAAGTGGGGGTCCACGAAAATTTATCTGGTTTCGATAGCAAAGAACCAAAATGGTTGCTTCGTAGCCTATTTATTTAACTTTAGTTTTATTTTTTTTTTTGAGTGATATATAATGCTCTTGACACACTGGTGTGTTTACCGCCACTTTGTGTCATCATACGTGGGGAAGCTTTAAAGGCCACCTGCAGACTAAAAATAAACGAAGCCACCTTCAGAAACTGGGTGAATACTTCGCTCAGAAACGACTGGGAGCCATCGAGTGGATGCATTTTGCTTTCAATCTTAGAAGGTCTATCTAGTTTTTTCCTCTCACTGAGAAGACGAGACTACTGATTGGTCACTTCACGTGGCACAAACACCTCACTGTGATAGGCGTAAATGACAACTGCATTTGCCCATTCTGCTTTTAAGAGGATGAAACGGTAGAACACTTCCTGATTCATATTGATAATATGTGGTGCGTTTATAATTTTGACACGGGTTGTACTTTCGCACGGTAATATGGTACGTGAATTAAAAATATTCTTAACTAAAACATATGCACTTTATATGCATAAGTTGTAAAAAAAGTAAACACTGTAAAATTAGCGTAACACGAAAAAATAAAATTTTGTGAAAAAGTAAATTTTTCTTTTAAAAATTTGTATTTTTGTTATTTAATTTGGTAAAAAACTCAACAAACAAATATTAGATTATTTCATTTCCTTCAAAATAAAGGCAAACAAACTTGACCTTGCAAGTTGACACTTTATCATTTACAACCGGTATTTTTGCGATTTTTCTGGTTACTTCAATGTTCTCTACATTCTTAATCGTTTTTTTTTTACTTTATTTAAAAACAGTATATTTGTGTTTTTTGTTTTCAAAGTTTTTCGTCCTATAATATATGAAAATCACTTGTTATTAAAATGGTCATATGCCTAATGTGCGTTCGTACAAATTTACAAGTATGTCCATGTATTCATTTATTTCTACATACATTAAAGTGAATTGCGGACGCCCAGGCAGTTTGGAATTTACAGCTGGCCTTAAAAGTTCGTGGCACGCCCACATGCCAGCTAAACTCAGTTTGTCAGTACACCTAAATATGTACAAACTAATATATATTTATGTAGGTATATATGTATATATGTACATACATATAAATTTTTAAAAGTTTTTTACTCAATGGATGTCCTTTTACAGGTACATATAATGCATAAATTTATTCAGTTTACATGTTCATACATATTTGTATGAGCGTTAGTGTTGTTACATCAGGCGTGTGTGTGTACTCACCTTGTATGGCATTTCGATCATTGGTATGTTGCGTAGTAGAATTTGCAAGCACGACACATTTTGTAAAACGTAATTACGGCCGTTCTCTATGAGTTTTTCAAGCAATGCATGGACGACGGAGGCACCACCATCTGGTGGATGTGGATGGGCGCCATATCTATAAAAATTATATTAAAAAATATATGTACATACATATGTAGACTTGTGAGTGAATGCGAATCAGTGCTGAAAGTTTAGTCGAATAAGGAGGGAAGAAGAAGCAGTGGAAGAGTGATAAAATAGTGATGAGGTGTAAATTTCATATTGTGGAAAGGTAATTGCTCAGTAATCTGTTTAACTTAGTATGCATTTAGTAAAAGGACGTTATGAGCTTAACTTTTGAATGCATAGTCAACATTTTTAATATGAATTGATTCAACGGACGACTCTTGATTAAGAAGCAAAATGTGTAGGTATGTATGTATGTATATGCATGGGCGTAGCCAGGTAGGGGCAGGGGGGTGCTCGAGCCCCCACCCCCCTAACTTTTAAATTTTCCTTACATATATACAAAATAGTACCCTGAAATGCCAGCTTAATAGGGTCGGGCAAACCCAACCCCGCCCCCCCCCTAAATTTCATTCTGGCTACGCCGATGTGTATTTGTGCTATTAGACTGCTTTAAGAGCATAAATTATACTGTGTACATAGTTAACATGCAGCGCTATTTTAAACGTTGTATGTATGAGCGGCGCACCATACAACGTGCCCATACATACCCAGTAGAAAATTTTAGGAGCTAAAACCCCTCCGAAACGCACAATTAAGAGTTAAGAGGCCCCCGACTCTGCATTTCTTTCACAAACTGTGGGGCTCCGGCTTTTGCTACCTAAGGAAGGCCTTCTAGAGGCATTCTACTACTGCTTCTTTAATTCATAAAAATCTAGATTTTTCTATGATATTTATTTAAGATTCATATCAATATATTTTATTGCAAGTTAAGGTACATATTGAAATTCATTTGTAAACCGAAACAATATAAACTTATACATTCTAGTAAATTGCAAATAGGAAAAGCCCTCCTAAAGACAATCAGGCAAGCACTTTTTCACTTAAAATGACCTTACCTTAATTATCTGCAGAGTGTTTATGTATATGCTTGCAATAGGTACCCAACACGCGTTGCTACGCCAATGTTTAGAAATTTAAGTTTAAAAATTTAAAGGAGTTTTAAATTTATTTTAATGCTAACGGAAAAACATCTAGCATCATAGTTCTCAGTTAGAGCTAGTTTTACATAGAGTAACATTAAAAATTTAGAGCCCACTTAATTTTTATGTGTATCATATCACAAAAGTAATAAATTGGCTTTCTTATGTCAAGGTGCAACCCTAATATTTGAGTTGGTTCCAGTTAATTCTAATTAAAAATAAAATTTGTAAAAAATTAAAACATAATTTAATAAAATCAAAATTAAAATATAAGTAGTGGTTTTTGTCGAAGGTTTTTCTACAATTCAAGCAAAAGCCATAAATGGTCTTCCGATATTCTAAATTAAATTATTCTAACCCCTTTGAAATCCCGAAATTCCATTTTATTATTATTCATAAAAGGCATTTTCACAAATAAGTAATATACAAAATTCTAACATAAATGCGAAAAAAATAAACACGAAAAATTATGCCTGATTTGGAAATTTGTATATTTATCCAAAATTTCAGTAACAAAATATATGTTATGTATGTATGAACTTATAAAAAAAAATAATAAAAACGAATTAAATGAAAATTCTACTGGCCGTGGGACTCGAACGCACGACTTTGCGGCTCATTAATCCTCAATACCGTCGTCGGTCAGGGCGCATTTGTGTGCTAATTTATCTGCATAAACATGTCCGTCTGTCTTGCTTTTTACTCATATTCTCAGCGATGACCACAATGCCGAGTGGTTAGTGGTGCGCCCTTCATCTGGTAGGGTCCATGATAAATTCCTGGTTCGATCATTAAAAAAAGTGTTGTTTTTAAATTGGTCAGCGCTTTTTTTGTATTGAGAAAGTTTCTCATGAAAAATCATCTGCCTTTCGGAGGCTGCATAAAGCTGTGAATGGAAATTTTATAAAAAAAAAAACATTCTGTTTGACGTTTACTTTGCATATTCCAATTGTTTGACTATAGACGGACGCTCTAATAAGCGGACACCTCCCATCAGCGAACATATTCTTGGGAACGAACAATTTTTGGTTTTTTCCATACAAAATGCTCTCCCATACACGGAGTTTCCGATAAACGCACGCGGACACTCAAAATTATCCAGTTATGAAAAAAAATCTCCCATAAGCGGACGCGAAGCTCTAACAAGCGGCCAATTTTTTTTTTTTTTTTTTCAATCAGAGGTTGTCTCTTGCGCTCCTACATATGTATGTATGTGTACACAAGAATATAGTCCATATTCAAAGATATTTTCTTTTCTAGAAAAAGTGTTACTTTTTCGTTGCCCTCTTCTTGGTGCTTGAGGTAGGAAAGAAAACGCCATAAATCTGAGTTTATTCTTTATTCATCCTGTTTATATCTATTGAAGAATAAATATTATTTTAAATTAGAAACCTGCAATTTAAATTTTTTATATTTGAATTTTAATTTGATTTTTTACGAAATTCTCATAAGCGGACATCTTTCATAGGCGGAAAAAAGTAGGTGACCATCGATGTCCGCTATAGGAGCTTTCACTGTATCTTGTGCCCAGCAGCGTACTATACCTGTGAAAGGGTTTTGGGAAAAACTGGGTGCTATCACCGCATTTCGTTCACGGTATGTACGCCACCGTCATCTGACCGATTTTAACCATTGGAGCGCTGGTTTGTTGGAAATCTCGGGACAAAAGAGAATAATTGAAAGAATGCAGAGACTCTCATGCATGGGCGTAGCCAGGTAGGGGCAGGGGGGTGCTCGAGCCCCCCCTAACCTTCAAATTTTCCTTATGTATATATAAAATAGTACCCTGAAATGCCAGCTTAATAGGGTCGAGCCCCCCCCCCCCNTCCACCATAATTATTTGTAACCAGTGCAGCCGCAAAAGGGCCCTTAGACTTAGAGAATCAAAATTGTGGAAAAGGACCAAGCACAGACACGCAACAGTCTTAAAAGCAATTAATATTGGACGTCATAACGGAATCAAGACCGGCTTAGATGTCGAAACTGATTACCTAGCGTCACTCTGGGATTTTAGTTTTAGGCCTCCTTTCGGTAAATGGTGATATTTCCATGGCTTAAGGATGAAAAAAGTGTGTTGGCGTTGGTTGGTTTTTCCGACAGGGTGGTAAGATGCTATCTTCAGTGTAATTTTTCGTTCTTTCTGAAAAAGTAGTCGGCTCGGGTCTGTACTCCAACCACCTGCCTTATTACTGCAGTGTCTTTCAGGTGGAGATATTTGCCATAGAGAAGGCGGCTTGACTCATACGGGATAGTAAGTCTCTGCCAGAGAACGTTATATATATTTGTAAACAGCCAGNTGTGCTCGAGCCCCCCCTAAACTTCAAATTTTCCTTATGTATATATAAAATAGTACCCTGAAATGCCAGCTTAATAGGGTCGGGCCCCCCCCCCCCGCCCCCCATGCCTCGGCATATCAGGCGCTGTGGGAAGCGCATCACATGATCTTTTACTTGAATCCACCATAATTATTTGTAACCAGTGCAGCCGCAAAAGGGCCCTTAGACTTAGAGAATCAAAATTGTGGAAAAGGACCAAGCACAGACACGCAACAGTCTTAAAAGCAATTAATATTGGACGTCATAACGGAATCAAGACCGGCTTAGATGTCGAAACTGATTACCTAGCGTCACTCTGGGATTTTAGTTTTAGGCCTCCTGTCGGTAAATGATGGTATTTCCATCTACACCGATGGCTTAAGGATGAAAAAAGTGTGTTGGCGTTGGTTGGTTTTTCCGACAGGGTGGTAAGATGCTATCTTCAGTGTAATTTTTCGTTCTTTCTGAAAAAGTAGTCGGCTGGGGTCTGTACTCCAACCACCTGCCTTATTACTGCAGTGTCTTTCAGGTGGAGATATTTGCCATAGAGAAGGCGGCTTGACTCATACGGGATAGTAAGTCTCTGCCAGAGAACGTTATATATATTTGTAAACAGCCAGTCGGCATTGTAGACATTAGGCTTTAAGGTGGAAAAGTCAAAGGAAGTTCGGAAATTTCGGACAACGCTGGCTTCACTGAGTCACGTCAAAACCTCACTCTGCTGGATTCCTGGACATAGCAATATAGAAGAGAAGGAAATAGCCGATGAGATGGCTAGATGTTTATGAGATGGCTAGAGATGTCTAGACATAGATACAGCTTGGAAATGCAAATTAGCGAAACGGATAATCCCTACCATCACCGATTTCTGGTCAACTAGAGAAGCCGTAACTAATGACCTATGGATCAAACGGGACGACTGTGAGATCTCAAGAGCTTTCTGGCCGAGACTAAGAGAGATAAGAGTCATACTGAGGAGCTATTGACATACAAGGCGTCTCAAGCATTTGGGATCATGCTTTCTAAATGGCTTGGGGCAAATAGGTAGCGTAGGTGAAAAGGTCGAACCTCCACGGAATAGTAAATGGTTTGACAGACTTTATACTAACAGTATTATTTAACATCGATTATAAAGATTTGCCTCCTCCTGGCACTCACAGAGGGCATTCAGGATGGACGGATGCGCCTTCCTAACCTAACCTATATATCTTGTGCGATATTTCTCATTTCTGATGTATTTTTGTAGTGCTTATTCAAGCTCAGTACGAATGAAACCACCACGCAAAATATGCAATCTCTAGTACTCGTACTTTTGAACCCAATGAAGGCGTATGCTGTTCGCTTTGTAAGGTTAGGACATTTTCTATTTTATCTTTGCACCCATACATATATTATTCGTTGCAGGAAATGCCGTCGGTTGGATGCAAAACCAGGCCATTTGTTAACATCCTCCGCAAACGAGGTGCACGTTTGCACTTGCATATGTATGCATTCATTNTATATATATTTGTAAACAGCCAGTCGGCATTGTAGACATTAGGCTTTAAGGTGGAAAAGTCAAAGGAAGTTCGGAAATTTCGGACAACGCTGGCTTCACTGAGTCACGTCAAAACCTCACTCTGCTGGATTCCTGGACATAGCAATATAGAAGA